TTCGAGACTGGAGATGTCCTCGCCACGACTAGCTTTTTGCGAGTTGAGCATTTTCTGGAACTCAGCGCGCTCGTCGTCCTTTTCCTTTGCCTCTTTGGCGGCGCGGAAACGACGCGAACGCTGCTGGTTCATCTTGGCACGAGGCGCAACACCATCGACTGCCATGTAGAGAAGCTTACGAGGACGGACCATGCCGACACAGCGATCAGTGTATTCAAAGATGGCCATCATCATGTCGGCCTCGGTCTTGGGCGCGGGCTTGTCTTCGGGATGCGAGCAAGGATGCACAATGCCATTCATGTCGAGGTAGAGGTTGTCGAACTCTTCGCCGTTGGGATTGGGCCCGGTGCGGTCTACGGGAATGACATTGTCGCCGACTTTCTTGGGCAACTCCTCCTGCACTGTTGAGACGATCTTGGGGTATTTCTGGCTGAGCCAGCGGAACATGGCTGGGACACCCATGATGGCGGTAGGCGCTCGGTGGCGCGCGGCGTGTGAGGGTGAAGGGCGGCTATAGTGAGACTGTAGCTGGAAGGTAGTAGTGCGAGTGCGATTGCGATGAGTGCGAAAGCGCGTGTACTACTAGTCTGGAGTGTGTGGTAGTGCTGCGACGATGCGCAGTGGAAGGAAAAAGACTGCCTGATGGCGATGAAAGCCCTTTCCTCCTCTTGAAGCGCCGGATGCGATATCTAGTGCGGCGATATGAGTGCTAGTGCCGCAATCTCCGTCGGCGCGCGATCACCGAGTTTGCGCACGATGGTTGATGGAAGGTGGTGATGAGGAGAGAGGGAGAGGGAGCGGCGATGGAAGACGCGCTCTTTCCTTAGCATCGCGGCCGGGACCCTGAAGGTCGCGCTTTTGCCGACTCGCCGACGCCGCAGGGATGTGGAGGAGCCGTGAGCCCGTGCGCCAAATTATACGTGGAGCTCCACCCACTATGGTTGCGACTATACTGAGTCGACTGCGTTCCCATGGATAGTCATACGTATGACTGAACACTCGTCGTATATCCTACCATGAAGCCATAGCCCCGTCAATTCCCCAAGATGATGCGCGTTCTCGAGGCCAATGCGCCTCCCAAGCAGACAGCAACCGACACCATCAGCACTCTTAGTGGGAGGCTGACGAGCGCAAGCCTCCTTGAAGACCGTCGCGCTGCCATTCTCGGCCTCCGGAGCTTCGCCAAACAATATCCCGCCTCGGTCGCTTCGGGCGCGCTCAAAGGGCTCATTGCCTCGCTGACTAAAGATGGCGACGACGTCGACACGCTCAAGGTGGTACTCGAGACGCTGCTCATGCTCTTCCACCCCGACGAGACCAGTCACGAGGCCTCGGAAGAGCTGGAGTTGCTGCTGGCCGACCAGTTCTCCCAAGTAGGTCCTGTCCTGCTACACATCTACTAGTGCTGAGCTTATGATAGCGGCAAGACAACATAACTCTCCTGCTCGATCTCCTAGACAAGCCCGACTTCTACTCCCGCCTCTATTCGCTGCAACTGATACGAGCCATCTCCCTCGCCCGCCCCCAACGAACCCAGGAATGCGTCCTCACAGCCCCCGGCGGCATTGAGCGCCTGGTAGCCACCTTGGACGACCCCCGCGATGCCATCCGAAACGAAGCGCTCGTCGTCCTCACCGACCTGTCCCGAACTTCTGCCGAACTCCAGAAGCTCTTCGTCTTCGAAGATGCCTTTACCAAGGTCTTCAACATGATACATGCCGATGGCGGCCTCACTCAGGGCGGGGTTGTCGTTCAAGATTGCTTGAGTCTGCTGGCTATCCTCATACGCTTCAACGTGTCCAATCAGACCAACATACGAGAGATGGGCCATGTCGCGAGGTTTGCCGCGCTGCTACCCGGCGGCAACAAGCCGAAGAAGGGACGCGCGAGTGCTGAAGAAGAGGACGAATGGGTCAGTCCGCAGAGCGACAAGAACATCTGGGGGCTGCTCGCCATAATGCGCATGTTCCTCGTCAAGGGTAGCCCGGGCACACTGCAGAACCAGAACGTCTTCCAGCAGCATGGCCTCGTCCGTCAACTCCTCAACATCGCTTTTGATCCTGCAACCGCCATGCCCATCAAGATCGAGGCTCTCAACACATGCGCGGATCTGATTAGAGGCAACGCTCGGCTCCAAGAAGGATTCGCTCAAGAGCAGGTCAGGCCCATTGTCGAGCCTCCTACGAATGGTGTCACTTCTCCCAACGGCGTACCTTCCGTATACGTTATTGAAGCGCTTCTGAACCTGGTCCTTTTTCCGGCGCCCAACGACCTGTTCGACCTGCGCAATGCAGGATGCGAGTGCGTCAAGGCCTACTTCTACAATCACAGACAAATACAAGAACACTTCCTTAACCGGGCCATCGGTGGTCACGAGGGCGGCGACGAAACAGCCAATGCTCTTACAATCCTAATGGCCGGACCCCAGGTTCCCCCAACTGGCGACCCATACAGAATCTGGTTTGCCTCAAATCTAATCTACCATCTCATCTTTGATGACTATCAAGCGAAAGACACTCTTATGGGGGTCAAGGAAGGAGATGCAGAGAGCGGTGAAGAGGTCGTCACGTGCATACAAACGCTTACGGCGAATCTCATCGCAAGCCTGCAACTCGGGGAAGATGAGCGCATATCGGTAGCCTACCTGATGCTATTGCTAGGCTGGTTATTCGAGGATGCCGCTGCAATAGATGATTTCTTGGGAGAAGCCAGCAGTCTGCAAAGTTTGGTACAAGCCGTCCTGACCCCTGGAGAAGACCGAGTCATGATTCGCGGTCTTTGTGCTGCACTACTGGGAGTTGTATACGAATTCTCAACAAGGGACTCACCTGTGCCACGACGCGAACTACAACCAGTTCTCATGACGAAGCTCGGTCGTGACAAATACTTGGACGCCATCACCGGATTACGCCGTCATCCTCTCGTACGAGACTTTGAGGTCTTGCCCCGGACTGCCGGCGGAGGTGGTGGTTTGCCGGACATCTTTTTCGACGAAGCCTTTGTAGACTTCCTAAAGGACAACTTCAGCCGACTATCTCGGGCCATCGATCGCAACCCAAACATCGAACAGCACCAGTCACATGACGGCGTTGACCGAGATGTAGTCGATGCACTTCGTGGTGAGAGTAACGAAAAGGAGCAAACTATCCAAGAGCTCAAGGCACAACTCATGACTTTGGAGCAGAGAATAGACCAGGAGCAGGCGGAGCATCGTAAGACCCAGCAATCAGCTGAGGAGCAATGCAGCACCCTGAAGCGCATCAATGATAAATTGCACGACGATCTCGATAAGGAAGTTGCGAAGAAGGATCGCGAGCACCGACAAGCAATGCTAGAGATGGAGAACAAGTACAATCTTCAAATCGTTGCGCTAAACAATAAGGTGCAGCAAGCGAGCAAGGAAGCCAACCTCGCCATCGCAAAGGTCAGACAAGAGTACGACGAGCAGCTCCACGACGCACACAGGACACGAACCGAATTAGAGCGTCGGTTGGGCGCCTCAGAAAAGGCCCGCCAAGAAGCCATTGAGAACATCCGTAACCTCGAACATACACTCATACAAACCCGCACCGAAGTCGCCACCATCACCGAAACCCTGCGCAACGCACAAACGCACGTCCAAAACAGCGAAGCCCAGCTCCAGCTCCTCACCGAAGAAAAGGAGACGCAACTCAGAGAGCTCGAAGAAGAGAAAGAGATTCAACTCAAGCAGCTCAAGGAAGAGGTAGAGCAGTCAAAATCCACCCTAGAAGCCCAGCTCAAACAATCCAAATCTGAGAAGGAAGCCCTCCAATCCACCATCGATAAACTCAAAGCCGAAAACCAAGATCTTAAAACCAAGGCTCAAGATTCAACTTGGAAGGTCAAAGAAGCGGAAGAGAAATTACGGAAAGCTGAAGCCGCTGCCACTGCTGCCAAGTCAAACCCTCAGAAGGGCAAGGCTGGAGGCGCAAGTGAAAAGGAACTCAAAGACCTCAAAGAGAAGCTACGCAAAGCGGAAGAGGCGGAGAAGGAGAAGGCGACTGAGTTGGAGGATTTGATTATGGTGCTGGCTGATCTTGAGGAGAAGAGGACGAAAGACAAGGTGAGTCATTCTCGCTTCTCAGATATTTTGGTAGCAGAGGGGACTAACGGTAGTAGGAACGGCTTAAGGCTCTTGGAGAGGAGGTTTCGGATGCGGAAGACGATGACGATGAGGAGGAGGATGAGGATGAAGATGGTAGTGATGAGGAAGGGGATGATGAGGAAGAGGATGACGAGGAGAAGAAGAAGTAGACTGGCTCGATTAGACGCAAATCGATCTATCTTCGCTATCCATCATGAACTTTGTTTTCGGGTCTACATCGAATGGATCGGTAGCCGCATACGAAAGATGTCACCTGTGGACTGTATCTATCCTCTATGTACCACGCTGTGAAGCGTCAGTCAGCTACGTTGTCTTTATACTCACGGTGGGGCGAATCGCTGCGAGTGCCTTTTCGGGTAAGGTTTGGGTGATGCGTTTTCCTCCAGGCATATAGTTTTGACATATTGTAGCAATGTACAGGCAGGTTGTGATAATTATTTTACCTTGGTGTCCCAGTCACCTCTACCAGGTGGAGGGTTTTGGCAGCGTTTATCGTCGTTGGTGTCCTAGGGGCTTCGACTTCCGCTTGTCATCACCTTCCTTCACCATAGTTTGATGAGGGTTCTTGAGAACATGATCGAGTTCATATGTCGCAATATCAACGATTCGAAGTGTGTGTGTGCCAGGCATGCGACCTCAATCACTCTGTCTATAAGTCAAGTCACGCCAGCGCTGACATCTTCAATAGAGCTTGGATCCCCCGGGTAGATGGCAAGGAGGTCTCATGTTCAACAGACCCGACTGCTATATCTTGGTGAGTGGAGGGTTGTTTCTCAGGATGAGCGTTGGGTGTAACTAAAGTCCCGTCCAGCACTAACATTGCCCATGAAGATTGGGCCGCCCCCGGATAAAACAGCGCTAGTCCGACTGCTCCCTATTTCTTGTACTCCTTCTTCCCTCCGGGCCGGTTGCCTCGCTCCCGAGCTCTCCAACTCAGATACTGCCATGCCATCGGGTACATTGGATGCGTGCTCTGATCTGTCCGACTGCGAGACAAGTGTCCGTTCATCGGAGTCAGTTTGGATTGAGGTGGCCACAGTAGTACTAAGCTCTCTTTTGCTAATCGCATCAACCCACAACCACAGCTGCCCCCTTACCCTTATGTACCCCGGATCCGTTGCTCCGCTGAACTTCGTCATATCAGAGTGGTTTTGATGGATACTATCATTGGGGTACTCGGGCAAGATGGCTGATTGTCGTGGGACAATATCTCCTATGCCCACGTAACTCAACTCCTCGTAGAAACAAAAGATTTCGATCCATTTCCCTTCGTTGCGTCGCCGGTCTTCGAGGAGGGTGTGGAATTCTTGTTGGAGGGTTGATAGCATTTCTGAACTAGAGATCAGTGTGAGAAGTTAGTGTTTGTCTTATGTTGAGTTTGGACAGGGATGTTACTGACGCAGGTTCTAGGACTGCGACGATGTCTCTGTTGGTCTTCCGAAGGAGGGAGGAGAGGCGGGTTAGTGGGGCTGCCCAGTCTGCTTTTCGTGAGCCCAGGTGGGGGGTTCCCATGAAGGCTATTGCGAAGGTGGAGGTGAGGAGCGTTTTCACGTGCAGTTGGGACGTGCCGCGGGATATTAGGAGGGCTTGTTCGACGACGAGGCCGCCGAGGGAATGGGCTATGAAGATTACGGGACGGTTGCTCTATTGCCAGTTAGTAGAGAAGGCAGTTCTAGACTTGGTATTCGCGTACTGTGTTCGTTTCTGCTCTTCGCAAGGAGAGGTCTTGAGCGAGAGACTTCCCGTGGTCGCGTACGGTGTTTCCGCCGGCGATGGTGAGGAGCTTGACTACATCTGCGTCGTATCCGAACGTGAAGATGCGCACGTTATGGAGGTCACTCGCCAGGAGGTCTTTGGGCCAGAAGACAGATTTCTTGTACGTCCACGTGGTTGCGCGGTTTCCAGTGAGACCGTGGACGAACACGATACTAGGATGGGTGTTGGGTGTATTCTGATGGTGAGGCTGGGCCCCTACTCTACGGTGTCAGTCGCTCCTTCCGCTACTGTTCTGAGGCCGTAAGCGCCTGCCGTGGAAAACAACTCTTCGGCTGGCTCCTCGGCATGCTTGTCGTTTTCCGACCCTTTCTTTTTCCTCCCGCTCGTCTTCAAACGGCGGAACATACCCATTTCTGGTATCTCCACAGCTTTCGAAGCTATACGCAACAGCCTCTGACGAGTGTGTCAAGCAGGCAGACAGCGGGCGGCTATCTGCCTTGTCTCAGCCCCAGCGGCAGTTGAACTGACCAAGCCAACTGCGAGGTGTACGATATGCAGTCAGCCTGACCCCACCTTGTGAGGACACCCAGAAGAACACCTCCATCCCAAACGTTACCAAAGCCGATTCATGGATTGCATGTCGCCGCCAGCCTCTAAATAATTTTCCGGATGGTTGCAAGACCTCAGCCAAGCTCTTTGCGCACGAATGGACCCGCCGGACCGAACCGTGGATAGCGGGGGTGGCGCCGTCTTCCAAGGCGACATTACGGCAGGCAGGGACATCACCATCAACCAGATCACCGAAATACGGCAGGTCGCTGAACATTTGAGCAGTCGTTGCAACGAAACAAACAACTCCCATAAACTTCTCGGTAGCCTAGAGGCTTTGAGTGTGTTTGCGAAATACACTGAAGACTATGCGAATACGCTCGACACCAGCGTGTTTTCCAGCGACCTACACTTTGGAAGAGTTTCAGAAGAATGCGCTTCAATACTACGAGAGCTCAAACTACTGGTAGAGACGCTAGAGCAAGGTGAACTTGGAGGATACGAGCCTTCTCCATCCTTCGGCGATAATGTTCTGGATTTGCGGTCGAGGCTCACAAGTCTGCAATCGCATCTCAACATCGTCAGCAACCGCAAGGCCCAGAGAGACTACAATACTATCAAGGAGACTCTCACTCAGCTGGTGAACAGCCTGACAAGTACAGACAAGGCTTTTTCCATTCGCAGCTTCGTTACGGCACCATCAATTCGCTGTTTCCCCACGGCCCCATCCATTCGTAGCTTCGTCACGGCTCCATCTATTCGCAGCTTTGCTACGGCTCCAGAAATTACAGATGACGAACAACAGGTCTGGCTAGAAATAGAGAGATCTCTACGAACAGCAGGCTTTACTACAGAGTTCGTCGGAAACAATCGTCACCTCATTGTAGCTGTATTGGAGGATACGTTTCTGGAGAATACTGATCCTTGGATCGTGGAAGGAGCCGAATCCAAAGCATCGCCATCTGGATTTACAGTTCCAACATTACGTCTGTCTGAAACTTACAACATCGCCAGCACTGAGAGTGAGGTGGTCGACAACATCAACCATGAAGCATCGCTGCGTTCAGTGTTAGACAAGCTACTGTTCAGTAAGACTGATCGAGACGAAGAACTCAGCGACGTCGCATCAGTCCGCTCATTCCTCAGCAGCGATGAACCCTTCACTAAGACCGAGGGAGAGGAGGGATCCAACGATGGCGCATCTTTCCGTTCAGTGTACCACGAAGAGTCTCCGACTAATACTGAGAAACGGAAAGAGTTCAACTGTGACAGACCGTTGAGCCTAGTGAACAATGACACACCTTCTCAAGCAGACAAAACGGGGACCAAATGGTCGAGATCAGTGGAGGATGGGACAGGAGAATGTCTACTCACTCTCGGTTTGTACCTTAGCCAGTGTTTGCAGAGCGATCGCTAACATGAGTACCAGATGGTGGTGGGGTCAAGTCGTGGTCGAGTCTTTTGATCATTAAGGCGCTTATGGAAGAGGTCATCGCTTGTGAGAATCGGTTCGAGCGACAATTTACACATTATCCCAGGAGCTTTGAGGCTGCGAATTTCCGTCCATGCCATTACTTCCACAAGATGTATGGCACATCGACGGGAGGGTAAGTATTGCTATGGAATACGCGTTTAGCACATAATTCATCCCTCTACTCTAATTGTCATTCCATACGAAGGTATACTGACAGATCATCACAGGATATTAGCCATCGCACTGAGTCGACTGCGCATGACCGTAAGCGAAACGATCACTGCTTTCGAAAAGATTTTGAGCGAGATGTACACACACGTCCGTACCCGGGTTACTCTCGTCAAGAAGTATCACAATATACCCATGAGAAAGGGCCTTGAAGCGGTAGTCCAACAGTACTGCAAACAGCACGAGCTGGGCCAGTGCAGCCAAGAAGACAAGTTCCGGTGGCGTGCACCAATCCACGATGATCAGGGGTACGAAGACGATTCAGACGATTCGGATGACTCCAGTAATCTGAATATATGGCGGGATCGTCCTTCCAGAGAGTCTAAACTCCGTGCGCGCGAGGCCCAGACCCCGGAATATCACCTTTGCCAAACGTGAGTACACCGCTTTACTGCAGTTGTAGCCGAAGAGTCCTACATACGAGGGAAAGAATTCACCGAAGCATAATAACTACTAACAAAACGTAGAATATGCTTGGCCGCTGTCCGCTCGGGGCAGCTAGATGAAGCGTATCTATTGCGTACATACAGTCATCATTACGACCCAGATATTGCCCCTCCTTGGGTTACTCCATACAACCAAGATACTCTCGACCTTAACACGTGGGAAGTAGGTCGCGGCACCACTGCTACACCGTTCCGTTTCGACACGTTAGTAGTCACTGGCCCCGACGGTCGCTTGGGTCTGAAAGATGGTGGGATACGAGAGAACAACCCTAGCTATTGTGCTTATTCCGAGGCCGCCTCACTTTGGGGAGATGATAAAGAACCCTCACTTCTACTGTCTATTGGAGCTGGACAAACTAGCTCCAAATTGGATGACTTCTCCCTCTCGGGAATCTTACCGATCAGGCTGTCCGCGCTGAACAAATATGCGGGAAAATTAGCCGTATTTAAGAACACACTGATCAAATACACGGAAGGTCAGACCCGGCATAAGATGATGCGCACTATTGCTAGAGGTGGACACACGTGGTATAAACGCTTCGAAGTCACGAAAGGTTTGGAGAAGATAGGTGCTGATCAATGGGAACCCGGGATGCTGCTCTCCACAGGCGGACACGAGACTATGCGTCCGGGTGGTAAAACTTTGAACACTATAAACACTGCCACCGAGGTGTACCTGAGTCGACAAGAGCCTGATAAGAGTGTCAATGAATATGCCGCCCCACAACAGATGCTGAAGCAGACCGCAGAGAAGTTGGTTCGCATGCGGAGGGCGCGAGAGCTCGAGGCCATGACTCAGGGTGGGGAAAAGCGCGAGCATTGGGAGGCGTTCATGGGCAAGCACCTCATTGGTGAGCGGGAATTTTTTCCGAAGTACCAAGAGGAGTGGGACTACGCCCTGCTAGGTCGTAAGCATTAGATCAGACATGCGTAGATCAGGCGGGACGTGTACAGGGATCTAGCATTCGGAATCATAGCTCTAGCGCTTCCATGAGCACTGACTAGTTACGCCCCATCCAAACCTCGCCAGAAGCGAACTTGCGATCACATGTTCTCGTATCGAGATGTTTGTCAGCAATTAGTGGACGTTATGGTATACGATGTGGCGTTTTAATGCACATGCTCACGACTATGGTGGGATTGTAGCGGACACTACCTGCTGCATACTGTGGGCAAAGGTGTTTGGGAAATCCACCTGCATTGTGATTATTTACGGTGTTACTCAACCGCGTCGTGCCTGCGTTATACCACCAGCACATTCAACAAGAAACAGTAGCGGAAACTACATATGCATTAGGTATCAGTGACTTGCGTACATGGGGAGGAACCATGAACATGGTAGGCTAAATACCTACAGCAGAATCACAATCCGAACCCTCCCACTCCTCACAATCGTCCAAAAACTCCTCCAACACCTTCTCAAACCCTGCCGCATCTTCCCAAAATGGTGCATGCCCGAGCCCAGATAAGCCCAAGCACTCACCCCTCCAGAGCCTTTTCCACTTCACCTCCTCGTCGATATAATCCAGGTTGACAAACTGATCTTCCACTCCGTTCACGACCGCGATCAACACATCAGTCGCCTCGACTACGCGCTTCTGATCGCAACCCTTGGGCGGGCAATCCTTCGTCCCAGTCGCGGCATCAGCTATGAAGACTGTCGCGCGCCCATCCGTCCTCTTCGCATCCTCCAACATCCACCTCTCATAGAACTCTTCCTTGCCCGCTGCCACACCGTGTCTCAAATACAGCTCAGCCTCCAAATTGACCCAATTCCTGTTCCCCGCGAATGTAAGACCACCAGCCGGCATCTTGAACGCTTGAGCCATCTGCTCGGCGCCACGCGAGGGAGGGGTACCGATAAGCATGAGCCCTTTGACGCTGATCCGAGGAGCATCTTCCACCATGGGAGGATCGTCATGAGCGAGACAAGGAAGCATTTCGATCGCGATGTGACCACCCAGACTCCAGCCCATGAGCACCACAGACTCGATTCTGAGGTGCTGCAAGACACGTATGACGAGGTCGGCGTAGCCGCGATGACAGTACGTAGTCTTGACATCAGGGGCATTGGACGAGCAGCCGTGGCCGGGGAGGTCTAGAGTAACGATGCGCCAGCCCTTGTTGATGGTGGGGGACTCGATGATATGGCGGAATTGTTTGGAGGATGAGGCGTTGCCGTGTAGGAGAAGGAGGGCGGGCTGGTCGTTCTTGAGATTTGAGTCGTAGATGCTGATGAGACCGTGTGAAGTTCTCATAAGGAAAGAAGGCATGGTTGGAATCAGGGATGCGTTCTGAAAGAATATCGTAAAGTGGGAATGCTACGATGGTGGTGAGGATAGTGTTGCTCTCTTTGTTGGTATATATTGCGTAAAGTAGACGTGCTACTAGAAGTGTTTCTGAAGAGACATCCGGATGTGGTCGTCCTAACAAACAGCCACGAACTCACAAATTTATATATTTCTCTCTTGAATACCTATCGCGGCCTGCTTGAGTAGACAAAGCGGCAAAGACATTCTTCCATCGATTCGGTATTCGAATCCGTGTCAAACCGGAATGCGTGCCGCCATGATGTCGTTTAGTGCGTACCAATAACGAGCAAACATGAGCCTAAGACATGAGTGTTGACCGTCCAGAGACGTATCGTGACAACGTATTATTGACGTTGGTGGTCGTGGCAGCAGTAGGGCAAACGTGCAAGAGCGGGAAGTTGAGGAGTGATCGGCGATTTTAGCGTCCCGTTCTGTCAGATTACAAAACAAGCCCTGGAGATGCACGTTCCAACGGTGGGGTAGCGTTTTCTGGTACCCAATCGGTACCCAATGGGATCCTCAAACGTGATAGAGCGCTGATCATTGCGATCCTATAGTGGAAAGCTGAGACGCATGGGATTGAGACTTCTGCATGTGTGCGTGCATTAGTCCTGTCAGAATTTCTTGGGAGAGATCTAGGCATACGGCTGCAAAGCCTTCACCAACCCCTCATGCTTGACGATCCAACTATCATCCTTTGGGAACCCTGGCGCGTGACTTACTGAGCCTCCTCAGCCTCCTGCACGATACGCAATAGCATATGTACAGGAACCCGGCATTCCCCAGCATGAAGGGTGGCGGCGTTGCTCCATGAGCCCCTCGAATGGCGAATCCTGCATCTTCAAGCTTCTGATAGTCTTGCGTTGTAAGATGGTGGTAAATCGCTCGCTCGGGATTACCTATCCGCGCGCTACTGATAGCGAGGACGGGACGCCCACAGCTTCGTATTGCCTCATTGCCCCATATCTCCCAAGTCTTGTCAGCCGCATCACGAGCGATATCCGAATCTACCGCAGGCGAAGGGGAAGGATGCCTTGCATCATGATGAGGCTGCGGGATTAGTCCGTGAGCTATGAATCGTCACACCAAGAGCTGTTGAATCCCTCCTAGACACTATACAGGCGCTCGATACGAGGTGGCAGGGCTGAGCCCGCGGCTACATGGATCCCCTTCTCGGGAACGGAATGGTGAAGTCTGTATTTCCAATCTACAGCGGCATCTCCAATCTAAAGCGGCATCTCCGTTCTACAGCGGCATCTAGACAGTAGCGTTAGTATGCAGTTTGGTACGCTAGGTTGCGAGTAGATTTCGGCGGAGTATTCTCCGTGATGCTGTGGGTTCGCGGACTGAAGCCTCACTTGTGCGTGGTTGTGTTAAAGCCGGGATACGACGCGATGTAGTCGGTGGTAGCGGTAAGAACTTCGTCTCAGCTCAAATCTGTTCAGTCGTAACGGAATGAAGGCTGGGAGGCTTTCTTGGGGAGAGTGAAGGAGGATCAAAACCTTTGTCATCTAGATAGACATCTCCCAAACGCGCAGTCGAATCGACCATTGCAACGGTATCTTCTACCTGTGTGATATATTCTTCTCATTTCTTTCCTGTGCAGCTGAGCCGTGCTCTGTACTCAGCAAGACGCTCCATTACCCGAGTACCGTTCCATATCTCTTCACCATCGCTCACTTCACAAGAAGGCAAACCGATCTGCTCGATAGCAAAACTTGCAGCCACGTTACCGTACATAGAAGCTTCATGAATATCTCCTGATGCTTTCCAGCCTGCAATAAACCCGCCTAGATACGTGTTGCCACCACCGGTGGGGTCGATAACCTTGACCGCCGATGGTTCGTAGTATGGGGGTAGCCATACACTTTTAGCTGCATGTTGAGTGGTCAGTGAGCCATGCTCACCTGCTCTCACAATAACGATTCCGCTTCCGCTCGGTCCGATTGCCTTGCTGAACTCTAGTGCATATGTTTCCAGTCGGCCAGGCTGAAAGCCTTCGCAGGGTGAATTCTCGAACATGGTAGACATTTCTAAGTGATTGGGCGAAAACACATCCACAAGTCTGCAGGCTTTCAGGAATGAAGGTCGGTTCTGGGTGGTGCAAGCTGCTGGAAATGGTTCCCACACTATGAATGGCCGGTTTTTGAACCCGTGTTGCCTGCGAAGCTTTATCAATTCTGGAATCTGTGTTTCGACAACCTCGGGCGGTGCAAGGAGATGAAATGCTTCCGAGCCAAGTAGATTTGTGTTTACGAGATCGATTGGTGATGGCTTCAACGGCTCCGTAGTATAGCGGAACTTCTTCGCTAGGCAATCGTAAGCTGCAAAAGTCTATCACTGGAACAAGGCAGTCACATACGTCCAAATGTATCATCTTCGTACTCAAGAAGCCCTCTGGTGCTCAGCCTGTCCTGCGAGACCTTTACGTGCAGAGTCGTCTGCCATGCCTGTAGCTGTTCTCGCACGGCATCTGGAAAATCGTAGCCCACAAGAGCCAGACAGCCCACTGTCTTCGATCGCGCAGAGGTCTTGAACAGGCGGCTCCCAAGCGTTACTGTTTATCGTAAGTCTAAGCGCCACATGTGTAAGATACATACCGTAAGCTCCGGAGCCGCCCGCTACGTCAATCAAAGGCGATCGTTTTGGCAGGTGGATCTCATCAATAACCACCATACCAAGCGATACAGTACCGACAGTCGAATCGTCTTCTACATTTAAGGACCAGGTATCCATGTTGCGCAGTAGGGATAGTCAGTGCTATTCGAGAAAGGAAGGAGTGGACTACGGAAGTGGTGACATCCGCACCAACATGACGCATGGAATGGACTGCGTTCGCGAAATGTGGAGTCATTCAAGGGCGCGCGCCGGGGGTTGACTGCATGCTGACCTATGAAGCCCTAGTGTGCCAATCTCGGCTAGTACACACACAAGTAACCTTGTATCTCCATGCCGAATAGGTTAGTATTTTGGACAAGTCGCAGGGTATTCATGAGGTTGCAGACAGGAATCTGCGCGTGATATCCGTTCTCGGGGGTCCCGGTTCCGCGAGCTTACTCCGTACGGCCAACTCAGCCGCATTCTTGTGTGCGCACTTGAGCGTAGGAGACGTTCTGCAGGCAGACGCCACTCAGCCTGACAGCCCCTACACGAGTATTATCGAGGACATGATTCGCAATGATTGCGTTAGACCGAAAGGAACCAAAGTGGGTGTGAATGCTCCAGATGTTGGAATGAGACGTTCTTCCTGGATGATGCATTCATACCTAGGTAGGCACTAGACCTCAATAAAACGAGGCTCGCACACTTACCACCAGTAATGTCGCAAAAGCTGGACCAAGCAGTATCTTGAACGGGATGTTGGTTCTATCGACTTTCTTATAATCTTTGTCTGTTCTGGGTCTATGTTGAAGCAGCGCCCCTCGCAACGCAGCAGAGCCGATGGCGATGCCGATAACATCAAACGGCGTAGCGAGACGTTCAAGGGCTACTTAGCAGTGACACTGGGCAGTTGCCGTGCTTCCGAAAAACCGTACGATGATCGCAAACGAGTTGGCAATCGTTATTGGTGCGTGCACTCGCGGGTAGTGAGCAGGTGGCTGCTCTCGCCATAAAAGCCTGCTACGCTGGCCTAGAGGAGCTGGGGCAAGTATTCCGCCCACGCGGGCAGACTGATGCGAGTATATCGAAGCGTGGCGCGAAGAGTCTAGTATGCTGTCAAAGAGGGTACTCTAATGTTGTTGATGTGGATGGTGAAACGAGAACAGCCACGCGGATCGGTGTGGCTGGGATTGTGGGAAAAGGAAAGGGTGATGACGTCATTGATCATCATCTTAGAGCGCTGGTGATACCGACCGCGCGGGTAGTTCTCTCCGTTGCGCTTCAACAGATACGTCCTCACGACATGTCGTTGCATTTTATGGAAATCTTTGAGGACCGTTCTCTCTCGCCATGTTGCCCACTTGGTAGACGCACACACTCCCAGGGTCCACAAGCCGCTAACAGTGCTTGATCGCATATGCTTGCTGGAAAGCTATTCGTTTTGCCCAGAAAGGGAGAAAGAGATGTTCAAATCAAGCATGCGCAGAGTAAGCTGCTCAGCTGGGACGGCCGATACTCAGGTCTTGGTACTGGAAATGGCATTGGCACTGCGTCGAGATATGCAGTGCTTCCGACGTTGCGCTACGGCCTTGTCTTCGACCACTATTGACCTTCAATAGTGCCTTGAAACTTGCTATACAGTCTCACGCGTGGTTGACAGGTCCGCTTCTTGCGTTACTTCTCTTTACCATCGCTTCCATCTGCTTCTACCGCTTTCGACTGCGATCCCTTCGAGCGTCTTTGTGGCGTCTGTTATGTTGACTTCCTAATCGGTCGATCGCCGCACGCTCACCGCCTTGGCGCGGTGAATGGTGAAGATGAGAAGCGACGCGCTTTGACAGGGATCTCAGCGACGCCCATACAGAGATTTCCAGCCCCAGAGGCTTCTCTCTCATCTTCTCAACAACATGGCGAGCCCCGAGAAGGTCGCTGAGCTGGCGGCGCGACTGCGTAGCCTCGTTGATAGCATATCGACCCACGAAGATCCTCGCGAAAGATCCAAGACGTCGCTCCAAGAGGCTGCGGTAGAGTTGGAGCAGACTGTCACCAAGTTCCACTCACGCGGCGATGCTCACGTACTGGTGCTGATTGATGCGCATAGTCATCCGGTAAGCTGTTCCCCTGTACCTATTATCCAGAGCCTAAGTCATATGGATACACGACGATCTACGTTGCAAGATAAAGAAGCAGATGATAATGTAGCCGTCTAGGACGTGTTTGAGTGTTGGAGTACATCTCAACATGACGAGCACTTTTACATCATCAACTGCTAACTCTACACTCAGTTCTGTAACGACGTCTACCACGAATCCTCCGAGCACATCTACTCCGAGTTCGAAAGAGTCAAGCTATTCAATATCAGGAGTCGTCTTCACAAAGCGATTAAGAATTACTTGATCGGGATATCCGCAATTACAGCCCTCGAGGCGTCTCGACTGGTTGTGCGCCTATACGCCGACTCGGTTAAGTTAGAGAATGATCTACTTCGCCCGCTTCAGCAATTTGCTGTTCAGTTTTCCTCGATTGACGCCGACTTCGACTTCATCAGCGTTCAAGACGAAGCTACGGTAGAGCTCAAAGTCTCTAGTGAGTGACACTCGAACATCTCAAAATGTCTTTCCTAACCATATTAGATGCCTTCGAAACAGCTCGGTACGACCCAAATTGCAAGCACATCTTCCTCGCTGCTTGGAGACGACCCGTATACCTCGCGATGTTGCGCACATCTCCCAAAAAAGTCACGCTAGTCCAGGGCGACGGGATGGGCGCGGGGGCCAAGTTCGTTCCTCTGCCGTGCGATTTTATCAGCATCCCGAATATCTTCGATAAGCCCGCAGGAAAAGACCCGTTCTCTTCGCTCACATCGCACTCTATGCGCAAGCGCTTCGTAGAGAAACTGATCAGCGTTGACGCTTCTTGCAAAAGCGAGTCACACGATCTCTCCTACTTTGACACTCACTATGATTGCGACGCTGAACCTACTACGCCGAACGATATCACGGATGCGCATCGTCAAGAACTTCGACTTCCGTATCTTCGAGACGCAAAACGTGGCCATGTCCCCGTCAACGAAGCTGGGCATCGTCTAGACTACCATATGGGGCTTCCTTCTCCCGCCGATAGACAAGCATACGCAGAGAAATTCGGAAGTGGCGCCCCGCCTTGCAGATTGTTCCACCTCGGGAAAGGAAAATGCCGCTTTGGTAGCGACTGTTCCTTCGATCACTCTGAAATTAGTGGCCAGATCTACAAGGTGGTGAGATATATGACAAAGAGGAACCCTTGCGCGATGGGCAGTGATTGCCATCGTGCAGACTGCATATATGGACATGTCTGTCAGGATACGAAGTGTCTCAGTGACGAACTCGACTCCTGCAGCATGAGGAAGTTTCATGGAGTGAGTTTCGGGCCTGTGATGTGGGTACCTGAAGATTTTGCTCCACGAATTCCCGCCGGTGGTGCAACAGGGGTCCTAGCTGAGGAAGGAGAGGGTGCGACTGTGGAGTCTTCCTGGAACTGAGAAGTCATGATACCTATGACAGCATGTGATAGGTACGGAGCTTTGGACCGAGTCTGGCCCTGGCGCAAGTAGACCATCGTCTACTATGTAGCCTACAATGTCTTTGAATGAACACGTTCAGACAATACGAATGCGATGTAGATGTCCTGCCTATATGTCTTACTCGCAGCCGACAAATCGTAATCTCGCAACGCGCTTTATGAAACATACAATCATCTCGCCGACAAGCAATCACAAGTTCCCGGCTTCTATCCCAAATTTACTTTTGTTGGGTCCTGAGTAAGCTTTGACACACTGACTTAGAGATAGACCATAATCCTTCACGCAGATTGCTGCCTAAGGGCCACACACTCCTCCTTTCGTTGCGCCCGCGTATAAAACCTCTGTCCCTAACACTGCTTCTCAAACAATGATCAGTCGCTTTGTACTCAACCCCTAGACCAAGAGGAAAAATGTCACAACACTCGGGTCGCCAGGAAGCTTCAAATGCGGTCGAAGAAGCAGTAAGTTCGTCTCATACAAGGTTAATGTATGGCAATACTGACGATTCAAGGACTTGATCTCGGCCACGATCAACGAGTACATTGCCGAGAAGCGCCGCGGATGCGCCACATTCCACGCGAAAACGGTCGGGTTCAAGGTGTCTCCGCGAAAGATCCAACAAGTTTCTTCCGGCTACTATAGCTTCGTCGGCACAAGCCCACGAGCCCCTCGCCTAAAAATACGCTATGATCTATCATTGTCGAACAGGTCAGACACCACGGACGTATCTCCTCTAGCATGTGTCCAGGTTCGCGGGCGCCGTAGCTGGCGTCCTCTACGTGATTGGGTTGAGGTTCGGTGCAAATGTAAGGGCTTTAGCAACGAGACCGGGCTTGTACGTGCGACGTGAACGTTACTCGAATACCAGGCTGACACGAATCTCAGCTCGTTGACTACCGTATGTTACAGGGCCGTCTCCTCGAGTTGCGCAAGATCGACTTCGATGTATGGAGGAAGACCTCGATCGCCGACATGTCCTTGGAGTCGCTTCAAGACGGAACCTTCTTCGCGCTCCATACATCTGGGGAACTTGGCAAGACAAATGCATTACAGATACGCCGACGACCCTCATTGGCTCTTACATGCGGTCCAGTAGCAACCGTATTGAGCGACGTAGAGATTGGGCTCTCATATCAATGGGTTTCATTCGGAAACTGGCTCACGGCAAAGCTCGCGACACTACCTCCACGTGCTGTTGACAACAGCCAACAGTGCTGGTGGCAGGCGAATGGCCGCGCTTTTAGGTTGTTGGACTTGCCTTTCGAACTTCGCTCGATGATATACAGACAGCTTCTTGGGCTTTACATATGGCCTCACAAAAAGCTAGGATACCATGAACACCCGTTAAGAAGTCCGTTGAGAATCTTCGGCCAGGCAACGTATACAGCGTACACTAACCGCTGTATGGCATTCGCACGGACTTCTCAGTACTCTCTCGATCCCATCGGAAATGAACGACCTTGGGCGTCGATCAACACCAACATACAGTACATCTGTAAGCAGGTAAGAGCCGAGTTCCGCAAGTTTACCGTGACATCGACTGTGCCGCATTTTCGGGATCCCTGGACGCTCATAGAGGTGTTGCCTAGTTTGCAAGGCAAATGGCTCCGTCACATCTCTCTCGGTTTTCCAAACTCCATTTACTTCAGGTTTCTGGGCTATGATGACCAACGCCAAGTGGAGTGGCCAGGTCAAGCTTTGATTCGAGTCTTTGGGAAGATCAGGACGCTAGCTCGCCTCCATTTGCATTTCCAGGTTTCTCTCCCCCGATGGATAGAGAGGGTAGGTATCGAGGATCAATTCTTCTCCCACGACCCTTGGGTTCGGTCGTTGCCGAGCCATCCTACTGACCTGATCTCCTGTCAGAAGACACTACTGGATTGGTTCTTCACACTGGCGCTGGAGGACCTTCGACAGATACCATCCGTAACTATGTCCGGACATGTGAAGCTCAGCACACGTACTAAGTGGGAGGCAATACTGCATGATGAGCGCAATGGTACGCTTCACAACCTTTCCGCTGAAAGGCTGACAATCATGTCAGATTACTTGCGGCGACCTTTGTAAGTCCTGTTTCCCTCCAGCTTGAGACTGTTGTTGCCGGTGTGTGTTCTGACCATCTCTTACAGTCCTCCTGTGTGCTTCTGCAAGCGCCCGTGCCACTGGTGGAAGGAATTCGGTCCGCCTGCCTACGGCGAGATAGCTAACTTCGAGTTCCCATGGCCTACAGGCCGCATGAATTACGACCCCAAAGTACACGATCGGTTCGTATGCGAAGATTGAGGCACAGAAATACTTAGAGGGATAGGCGGTAGAAGGACTGGGACACCTGGAGACAAACATGCTCTTTACGACCCGCGCCGCTGAAGCCTGAGGCGTAGTGAGGTTGCGCGATAGGCTAGACACAACGAAGATATTATCAGTAGAACAGCAGGAGCTCCCTGTCGTGATGTTGGACCGTCGATGCTGGTGTCGTAAGCTCGGCGTTCTAGTCCCCTCGTGGCGGCTTCCCCTTATTTTCCCCGCATCGCACTAGTGACGTAGCGCGAAATAGCGTGGCTCGGCAGTTACACAAGTCGTCAAACCTCACTCACGATCACCAAACCATCACTCTTTCGATCAAATTCCCGCGCGGTCAGCTTAACCCTCGCGTGAACTTGCGCAGCGTGGCTGAGCGTGCTTGAAAAACATTTGCCGCCCACTTCATCCGCTGCCGCTCGATCCCGGAACCTGGGTTGAGATTACAACGCTGCGAACATGGGTATGTATCGACATACCGGGGCTAAACAGAGGCTAATACGCGATCAAGGCTCATGACTGGACGATGCGCGCTGAGACATGCCGTGGATGATGTGCTATGAACGATGAGACGGCACGCAGGTCCTTCACGTGTGGAAGATGCGGAGAACCTGGCTGTTGGAAATCAGGCTGGGCGATAAGTAGCCAGACGCTCAGCGGAGGATCGGCCGGCCGTTGTCTACACATTTTAGTAACCTTTTGTCTTGGATTCTGCTCCGACTATAATTGCCGGGTCACGAGAGGTGCTCACGGTGCTATCCTGCCGACAGCTTCACGCGCTCTATGGCAAGCCACGTCTGACTTGCACTCCGGCTGGTTTTCGAAGTCGAATCGCAATAGCACCGACATTCCAGATTGAGTCAGAATAGGCCCGCGAAGTGCGCCTTTTCGTACAACACGCGATACAAGTACCTCGCTGCGTCCTTGGTCTGAGCACAACCATTACCTCTCACACATTAGTTGCGTTGATCACGATGGAGGTACACGACTTTAACGAAGATGTAAGTTTCCAAGACGGTTGATACCGCCCAGTGCTAAGCGATGCAGGAACGCCGGCAGCTCGAAGCCGAGCTCCACACAGAAATCCTTCCCGGCACGGAGGTCATGGCAGATGTAGGCTCACACCATTTCGTCAAAGGAGCGCACCGTCAAGTCCTCGTTCCGCAACCCAGCGATGATCCCAACGATCCTCTCAACTGGAGTACCGGTTGGAAGATGGCATGCATCATCGCGGCATCAATGGCCACGTTCACGCAAGGATTTGGTCCATTGGCTCTAGCACCAATGTTTCCGGCACTGATAGAAGCTTTCAACACCGATTTGGCCGGAGCAGTCCAATTCACCGGTGTTTGCATCTTGGTACTGGGATTTAGCAACTTCATCTGGTGAGTACCATCAGACCATGATACAGACGCCAAAGACTAATGGGTAATGGTAGGGTTCCAATCAGCACATCGTTCGGTCGTCGCCCGGTTTATCTCGCATCCCAACTCATCAACTTCGGTACCTCGATATGGCGCGCCAAGGCCAACTCCTACAATTCCTTCATGGGCGCGTGCATCCTCAATGGTATTGGTGCTGGGCCGGCTGAGACCATCATGCCCGAGATCATCGCCGACATATTCTTCTTGCACGACCGCGGAAAGTGGAACACTCTCTACTGGGTAGTCTACATGGGCTCGCTGATGGTCGGTCCCATCGTGTCTGGATCAATGACCGAGACGGTCGGCTGGCGCAGCTTCTGGTGGCTCAATACCGGCATCCTCGGCCTTTCATTCTTGATGGTGGTCTTCATGTTCCCAGAGACAAGGTTCAAGCGCGCGTTGCCCGAGCACTTGGGACAAAAGAAACCGAGTTCCCTAGAAGAGAAGACGCGAGCGACTACCCAAGAAGACATCAACCACTCCGACAGCGAGAAAGAGACAAATCCAATCCAGCACATCAGCACAGCTAACTCCGTCCTGCCAAACACGGCCGGCCTAGAGATGTCCGAGACAGCTCAGCGAGACCCCTTTCTTGGCCGCGGCAAACCTGGCAAATGGCAGTGGAGGATCTTCCAACCAAACGCCCACCCGTTCCGTTCCATCTTTCTCGACCTTTGGATTCCCTGGAAACTGTTCGCTTTCCCCATTGTTGAATTCGCCGCTTTCGTCGTCAGTTGGTCATGCTCCAGCTTTCTCACGATCAACCTCACACAAAGCCAAGTCCTCGCCCTACCGCCATACAACATGAAGCCAATGACTGTAGGCTTCACAAACTTTGCTATCATGATTGGGGCATTTATCGGACTCTTCACTGCTGGTCCGCTCAGCGATTGGGTGTCTGCAAGGAGCACCAGGAAGAACAACGGTATACGTGAGCCAGAGATGCGGTTGCCAGCTATGATACCATATGTCGTCATCATGTTTATCGGTAACATCGTCGTCGCGATAGGCTATGAGCGCAAGTGGCCTTGGGAAGCTATCATCGTCATTGGCTACACATGCGCTGGTATACAGGTTGCAGCGCTACCTGGTATCGTCAGTACATATGCCGTTGACTCCTACAAGCCCGTTGCAGGCTCGTTATTCGTCGCCATCACCGTCAACAAGAATCTTTGGGGCTACGGGTTTGGCAAATTCATCACGCCGTGGAGTGAAGAGGTTGGGTAAGTCTCGGAAATCTGATATCATGAAGGGCATTGCTGACTGTAGTAGATTTATCTCGCCCATTATGACGAACGCGGCTCTTGTTACGCTCTGGTGCTCGTTCGGTATTCTCTTTTGGTGGAAAGGCAAGACGTTCCGTCGCTGGAGCAAGAACAGCAGCGTCCACCGACTAGGCGCTTTGTAGTGCGCAGCGCACCTCTTTATCTGCAAGTCTTCCTGGCAGCACCTTCCCTACTCATAGCTCTTAGCCTGCAATCACCTGCAATCCTCAACCCTTACTCATCTTCCTTCTCCCTCGCTCTCTTACTCCCAGGTTGCGCACTCTTCTTCACATCATCAGCAATCCACTCCGACTCATCCGCCTTGCCCTCCAACTCCTCCCACCCATGCACCTCCATCTCCTCCAAAACCTCATTATTCTGCCTCAACCACTGCCAATGCAGAAGAACCTGCCACACCCTCTCCAGCAGCGCGATACCACTCAACCCCGCCACCTCTTCATCGGTCAACAGCAGATAATCGTCCAAAGCCGTAACATGATGTTTCATCCTCGCTATCACACCATGCGTCCCATACCCTCCCGCCGGCGCCGCAATCACCGTCGCAATGATATTAGGCAGCCGCGCCCTTCTATGCGGGAACCTGGCTGGGAAACTCACGGGTACCGGATCAGGCGCCGCCACCCCCGTCGGCGGCACCGACGCAACCGCAACAGGCATCTCGCGACCCGTCGCCCCATGCTCCATCTTCCACTCCCTCAACATATCATACCGCAGCACCAACCGCATTGCAAGCTGTTTCTTCCGATCATAAAGCCTAGCCATAAGCGCCCTATTCTGCACAATCCCCTCCGGCAGCAACGTCCGCGTGACCAGGAAAAGTGCCTCCTCGCACAGATACCGGAAACGACCAGCTGGGCGGTCTTCAAGCAAGCTGAACAGAGCAGGCCAGTCCGTCTTGTTATCCACAGGCCGGAGTAAAGTATCAATGAGCGGATGCAGTCCCTTCGTTCCAAGATTACTGTGAATACGGCTCCAGACTTGTATCGCATCCAAACCCGCCTCCAGCGTGCCTGCAAACGGATTCGGGATGGAGGGCGCGAAGTGGTAGTGTAAGGATAATTTCGCGGCTGCTGCTTCTTTCCGCGCGGACTTTCCAGGCGTGTCTTGTTCGAGCAAGGAGGGCGCATCGCTGACGGTGCTGTTGGCGCGTACGCCGCGCCCGCTTCGCGTGGGTGGCGGTGGGGGCGTGGGACGCGGTGTGTGGAATGAAGCTTGGGAGTCTGAGAGGATGCTTTGGGCGCGGTCGACGCGTTGGAAGCTGCGGCCGCGGGCGCGGTTTGGTGTTGCCATTTTGGGTGCGCGGACTGCAAGAGCGAGCGGGCGAGTGTGGAGGTGGTGATTGGGGATGGTAGGGTAAGATCCGTGTAGAGAGTTTTTGGGTATATAAAATGTTGTGTGTAAGTGATAGTGCGCGGTGTTATTGGTATGACGTGTGTGATTGTGGTAGATTGGTGGAGGTGAGCGTGAAAGAGCAGTGAAAGAGGATGTGATTTTTTCTGTCATGATGGTAAGAGGCAGGTGCATGTTTGCAAGGCAATTGGCGTGGCTTGCTGTCTTCTCCTAAGCCATTAAATCCTCCGCAAAGGTTTGACACAAAGAGCATTCTGCGTGACCTGTACTTGCGCTTATGTTTATATCAGTCTACATAGCAGACACCATAGCGCAACAACGTGGTGATACTTTCGAATAGATTCTTTGATTCGTAAAGTAACTTTACCGTACTTGCCACCCAAGACTACTCGCATCAAACACTCAGCCCTTGATAGCCTGCTGTTGCATTTTCTCACCACTCTCATTCGCCGGCCCGAGACCCATCTTCGCCGGCCCACAAAGCTGCACACCATCCTTACTAAACCTGCTTCCATGGACCGGGCAATCCCAACTCTTCTCCGTAGTATTCCAGCACACCACACCCTTCAAATGCGGGCACAACGCGGAGAATTTATGAACCTGGCCACCCTCATCTTTGTACACAGCGAGCGGGTTGGTGGGGTTGGTGTTGAGAACACCGCCCTCGCCAGGTACAAGGTCTTCGATGTCTTTGATATCCGACTGAGCGAAGCGCTTGTACTGGGCGTTGATCTGGAGGTCGTGGCTGATCATGCTGGTTGCTGACTTTGCGATCGAAGCGAGACGCTTGGGGTCGTAGGCGGCGATCCAGGAGTTGGGTTGCTCGGTGATGGAGTCTGCGATGAGCTTTCCGGCCAGGACGCCGTGGGTCAGTCCGTTGCCAGAATCGCCGGTGATGATGTAGATGTGCTTGTTTCCTTGGTTCTTGCCGATGAACGCCATGTGGTCCACTGGCTCGAAAACTTGACCGCTCCACTTGTAATCGATTGTGGTCGCTTGTGGGAAGCGGGCGCGGGTCCATTCTTCAAGTTCCTTGAAGGGCGCGACAGTGTCGGCTTGGCCAACTTTGTGGTCACCTCCACCCACGACCATGTAGTCATCCTTCTCGTCGCACTCGGTGAGACGTATGTACTTGTAGATTTCGGCCGAATCGTAGATTAGGGCGTCTTCGACTGAACCCTTGGGTACGCGAATAGCAATGCAGTAGGTGCGGAAGTACTCCTCCTCGGCGATAACAGAGAGCTTCTGAAGCGGAACACAGGTAGCCTCGACAGCATCGGCACACTTGATCGTGTTTCCGTCGGCTGTCTTGACGTAGACGTCCTTGTGGCCCATGCCCATGATCTCTACGCCTTTCTCCTGCACGTCGATGCATCGCGTGTTGGTGTAGCACGAGAAGTTGGACTGCTGCTTGAGGAAGTCGAGCACACCGACAACGTACTTGGTGGGATGGAACGTCGCCTGCTGCGGGTAGATGACCGCATCGCTTTGGTCAATGCTGCCCTCCCAACCCTTGAGCTTGAACCCTTCCTTGTATTCTGTGGGGATACCGAGCGCCTTCGCCTTGTCGCCGTCCTCGATGAGAGTCTTGATGTCGCTCGCATGGTCTTTTGAGTCTTTGGGGTATTGCGAGAAGTCGTAGCCGGGCAGATGGCGGTACTCGCACTCAATGCCCAGCTGCTTGGAGATCTCGCCGACGCGGTTGAGCGCCCAGGTGTGTGATTCGGCGGCCGCCTTTGCGCCCTTGTCCCCGTGCTTCTTCGCAATCGCAGTATAGCCGTCGTCTAGGTCGTTGGCGAGATGGCCGCTGGTACGTCCAGTTTCACCTGAGAGCACCTCTCGACCTTCGATCAAGACGACGTTCAGGCCACGAGTGACGAGCTCATAGGCAACTGAGACACCAGAGATGCCGGCGCCGACAATACAGACGTCCGTCTCGAGGTCCTTGTCAAGCTTGGGGAACTTGGGGATGCTCTTGTACGGCAGGTGGTGAATCCAGACAGGGTCCGTCTCTCCGCTCGTGTACATGAAGTGCTGTGGGCTCGACATCTTGGCCGTGGCTACTGGCGCATCGCCGCTCATGGTCGCCATGTTCGCTCGTTGTCCGGCGAAAGCGTATTTTGGTGCTTGCTGTAGGCGAGGCGCGAGTCTGCTATATGAAGCTAGACGTATGGAGGATAGTCGCGCGGTGTTTCGTAGGAGAGAGGTACGGAAGAGACGAGGGGCAGACAGCGACATGTCTTAACGGCAGGTGAAAGGAGCGCGTGTGCTGAACACGTGGAGGTACAAGGTGTTGTATATGCCTAAACAGTCAATTATCATGACGGGTTCATGTAATAGCTTGCGCATAATTGGCCGCGTGCATCGCGTGAGCCAAAACAAAGCATTGGCAATGGTGTAGCTTTGACGATGCCATGACGTCTATTGTGCGACTCCGAGGAGCGTCAAGTTGTGGAGGACAGAGACGACACCCAGCAGGGGAAAGAGTCTGAGCAAGAGGTATAAAATGATTCAGGAAGTCGCTAACGTGTATACAGCTGAAAAGAAGCAATTGCGCGAAGACAACGATGAAGTCGCGATAAGAACAATGATGTTTGCGCGAAACCGCAACACGCTAAATTTCATCCGCGGCACGTCAGCACGTGACATAGTGCTTACCTCCCCTCCGCGGGCTTCAACAAACCCTCCGCAACGTCCTTCAACACGAACTTCTTGATCTTACCGCTGCCCGTCAACGGCACCTCGGCATCGCAGTCCTCTCCCAGCCAGAAGATATGCACAGGCGCCTTATGCCTGCCCAGCACCTTTCGTACCCAGCCCTGCACCTCAGCCAAATCTGGTTTATCCGTGTTGGGCTCGTGTAGGAGGAAGGCAGCGGGCACTTCGACGTAGCGAGGGTGCGAGACGCCGACGACGATCGCGCGTGCGATGGATGGGTGTGCCACGAGACGTTCTTCGATTTCGAGAGGGTAGATGTTTTCGCCGCCTGGTATTTCGTTAGCATGAAGGCTTCAATGGTTGTGCTGACGGAAGGGCAACACATACCTCGGATAATGATATCCTTGAACCGACCGGTGATGGTGCAGTATCCATCCACATCTAAAACCGCCTCATCACCAGTGTGTAGCCAAGGCTCGCCATACTCGTCGCGAACGATGAGCTCTGCCGTCTTCTCGGCATTCTCCCAGTATCCGCGGCAGACCTGGTATCCAGCAACGCAGAGTTCGCCTCTGACGCCGATGGGTACGACGCGATCCTGATGGTCCACGATCTTGACGCGCGCATGTGGTAACACCGTGCCGACAGTAGTCAACCGCGCATGCAGAGAGTCAGTCGTGTGTGCGTTGAACACCGTCGGGCTAGCCTCGGTGAGCCCATATGAGGACGTGAAGTCCGACATATTGAGCTCGTTGACCATGCGCTCCATCAGCCACTTCGGTACCGGACTTCCCGCTACGATGCCTGTCCTCAGATCACTCGTCCAGCCTTCCGGCCGTGGCACGTCCATTATAGATTCCATCATAGCCGGTACACCGTGTAGGGCTGTGCACCGCTCCGCATCAATAGCGCGCATGCAAGCGACTGGATCGAATTGTTCGGCTGGGAAGACAATCTTCGCACCGTGTGTGAGGCAAGCGAGAAGACCGAGGGTGAGACCGAAGCAGTGGAAGAGAGGTGGTGGGCAGCAGAGGGTGTCGTTCGGTGTGAGGTCCATGCGGTCGCCGATGAAACGGGAGTTGTTGATGAGGTTGCTGGGTCAAGTCAGTACAGCACCAGGTGATACAGTGACTCAACTTACTGGTGTGTCAACATGGCAGCCTTCGGGTTGCCAGTACTACCGCTCGTGAACTGCAGGTTCGCGACATCGTAAGGACTTATTATGCCGTCGAAGATATCCAGAATATGCTCGGGAATGTATTGGGCTTCTTCGATGAGAGCAGAGTAGGAGATGAAGCTGTCGTGTTGACCGCGTATCAGGCACACAGTCTTGAGGTCTGGTAGTGTGGAGCTGATATCGGCTTGACTGAGCTTCTCAAGCAACGGCCCATTGTCGAATCGCGCGATCGTAGGTGTAGTAAACAGCATTCTGCATTCTACCATGGTCAGTCTTTCTTCGATATCATACGTCAAGTCAACTTACTGGTATGCTTCAGCGCATACTCCATCTCCGTCGCCGTATACGTATTGTTAAGGGTAACGCAAATACCCCCCACTCTCGCACACGCAAAGAAGAGCGCAATGTACTTCTCGCAGTTCCCGCTCATGATTCCTATTCTATCCCTCGGTCGCACTCCCTCTTTTAGTAGAGCTCTTGCGAGCAAACTCGACTCTTCCCATAGTTTCTTGTACGTCCACCGCGCACCTGTCCAGGGTATGACAACAGCCTCATTGTCTGGATAGCACTCGACTTGCCGCTGAAGTAGTTGCGAAAGTGTCAATTGGAGTAGTGGTGGATCCAATGGCCCTGCGACGATGGAGAGATTGGGATATGGAGGTAGGATGTAAGGGTCGATTTGAAGTAGTGTTTGGTTCAGACGCTGTAATGCGTCATTCCGCGAGTGGTCGTATATCTCCCCCATTTCGATGTGTGTATGTCGTTCCCTCGCAGGCAACCTGTCGAAGTATAGTAGTCGAATGCGGAAAGCGATCCGAATGCTACCTCAAACCTCAGAGTTCGCGACAGTGGGTATAAGTTGGCGACTAAGCTGATGGAAGGCGTAGAAAGAAAACGATAAAGAAGCAACAGTATACAACAACATCCAAAGGCAATCAATCACTCGACGATGAACCTTCGAAGTAGCAACTTCAGCCATAGCACCCAGCGATAGCAACGGCAACAATGACGGTGCCTCGCCGATGGCTCGGATCTAATCCCACAAACAAGGCATCCCCATCTCGCCCTCCAAACAGTCCGTCTCCGGAGCCCTCGAAACGACGCG